TCCAGTTCTTTAAGGGAATTATTCATTTCCTGTTTAAGGGACTCTATTGCTTTCTGAATGGCATTTTTGTCCAATTCTTCTGAATTAAGAGGTTCAAGTCCTTCTCTTGTAGGGTCGTTGGGATCTGGTGATTTCATGTTGTTTTTTAGATTGTTGGAGGAGTTCTTGCCTTGGCGTCTGCCCATCTCTTCCTTCAACTGCTCTATATTGGATCTTCTGGTACCAGGCTAGGTTCCCTTGTTGGGCAGGGACTTCACTGACAGAAGGTCTACCTTTCCTCAGGCAGTCTATTGAAACACAGGCACTCCCTCCTGCTGGGTTGCACTCACCAGCCCCGGCCCAGAGTGCAAGGTAGCTGCTCTGGGGAGATTTTTTTGGCCCCAGGGGGAAGGGGGGAAGAGAGGAAGGTGTACTTGGATGAAGGCTGGGATGGGATTCAGGAGAGCTCCACAGGGTGGAGCCACCACTGCAGGGCGACCAGAAAGTCGAAAGTCGAGGGGGGAGGGGAAAGTCTGAATTCCTCCTAGCCGATGCCCTCAGGCCAGGAGCAAACTCACCCCTCCTCCAATGGATGTCTGCTAGAAGATCACTGTCTCTTGCTGGCCAGGAATGTGGCTGAGCTGATTCAGGGCCTGCCTGTCAGGCAGCCTCTCAAAGCACAGGAACTGCCCCTGCCCGGCTGAGCCCACAGCCCAGGCTCAGCATGCAAGGGAGCAGCTCTGGGGAGATCTTGTGGCCCCAGGGGGAAGGGAGAAAGAGAGGAAGGTGTACCTGGATGAAGGCTGGGATGGGATTCGGGAGAGCTCCAAAGGGTGTAGCCAACACTGCAAGGCGACCCCTTGTAAAACTTTTGAAAGCTGATCCCCTGCAGTCTTGTTTGGCATGACTTTTCAAGCTTTTTTAGACACAGTGGCCATTTGGAGATATATGACAGGATCAAGCACAATTTGATTGGCCAAGTTAGCATAAGCTCCTGTTCCAGTTAGCATGCCTAGGTTGTGCTGTGCCCCATGTAAGCATTTAACCTAGCTGTTTGTAAACAATGATCTTGATTTTCTCCCCTCCACAATAAGTAATCTCCTCCAGATAGTACTGCACTGCATAGCTGCTGCCAATCACTAGGTGTAAGATTCAATGCCACAAAAGATTCTACTATGGTAAGAGTAAAGGGGGCCTGAGAGCCATATGCCACCATGCCTCTTTCAATTGCTTCATCTCCTTAAAGCTCAAAACCACATGTTGTCTCAGCATCTGCCATGGATTGTTCGGATCAGGTACCTCTACGACTGAAGCAACTGTGTGCTGGGGCCAAAAACAGACACCTCCACTTCTTCCTGAGCCCTCTTCAGTCTGTCATCTGTCAGTCCCCAACAGGCCTCCCCCTTTCCCCAGTTCTCATTATAAGCAGATAGGGCTGGTGGCACACATGAGGAATCCTTCACCTTACAATGCTTCAGCCTTTTCTGAAGTACCTTAACTTCCTGCATTAGTTGTTCTTCCTCATCAGATAAACTATCCTCTGCACTAGATCAGAGGCTGTCTTCCCCATTTTCTGACTTTGGTTTTGCAGCCAAAAGCATGCAGACTTTGATGCTAGCCTTGGACCTGCGCCAGATTCCAAACTTGCCCCTGGTACCCTTGACTCTTCCTTTTGGTCCCTATGCAACTCCTCCACCAATCCTATGGACTGGTGAGTCTCCTCCTCCAGTATTTCTTCAAGTATTTTTTAGTCACAGCAACCTCCTGTCTTATTTTCACTTTATCAGTAAGCAGGGTGTTGCAGACCAGGCACCAAAGCAAAAAAGTAGATATAGGGAAGCTATTGGCACCCTCCTTTTGCAGTCATTTCTGCAAGTCTCTTTTCACCTGTTCCCAATAGGTTACGTTCAAACATCCTCCTCTCAAAAAGCATGGGCTTACTGCGCCTGTTGTCTTCAGAAAATCCTCACCATCTTACAACTGTCAGAATAACTAAACTCAAAAACACCAATGATAGTCTATGCTGGATAGGATGTAGAGTAAGGAGAACACTCATCCATTGTTGGTGGGAATGCAAACTTGTGCAGCCACTTTGGAAATCAGTGTGGCAGTTTCTCAGGAAACTGGGAGTCAGCCTACGTGAGAACCCAGCAATTCCAATTCATTTGTTCAACTATGTTCATAGCAGCATTATTTGTAATAGCCAGAACCTGGTAAAAAAAAAAAACCCACGACATCTTGAATTTTGCATGCAAATGGAAATAGAAAACACTTTAAGTGGGTTCTAGCCATAATTAAAGGACACTGAGCCTATAATTAGTGATCCTAGAGAAGTTAGAAAAGAAGGTGAACCCAAACAAAATCATATAGTTATCCTCCTGGATATTGAAAGTAGACAAGATTGCCAGGCAAAACTTGGGTGCACGGGGTGGGGGATGTAAGAGGAGATGGGGAGAGAGAAGGGAGAAGGGGAGGATTCGGGAGGGCTTGGGCAAATGGGATGGGTGGGATGGAGGAAGAGTGGATATGGGAGCAGGGAAGTAAATATCTTATTTAAGGGAGCCATTTTAGGGTTTGCAAGAGACTTGTCTCTAGAGGGGTTCCCAGATCCAAGGAGAGGTCCTCAGATTGTTCTGGGGAGAGGGTGCCTGAACTTGCCTTGTCCCATAGCCACACTGATGAATATCTTGCATATCACCATAGAACCTTCATCTGGTGATGGATGGAGATAGAGACAGAGACCCACATTGGAGCACTGGACTTAGCTCCCAAGGTCCAAATGAGTAGCAGAAGGAAGGAGAACATGAGCGAGGAAGTCAGGATCACGAGGGGTGTGTCCACCCACTGAGACGGTGGGACTGATCTAAAGGGAGCTCACCAAGGCCAGCTGGACTGGGACTGATGGAGCATGTGATCAAACTGGACACTCTGAACAGTGGCTGGCAATGAAGGCTGACTGAGAAGCCAAGGACAATGGTACTGGGTTTTGAATCTATTGCCTGTACTGACTTTGTGGGAGCCTGGTTTGTTTGGATGCTCACCTCTATAGACCTGGATGGAGGGAGGAGGACCTTGGACTTCCTACGGGGCAGGGAACCCTGACTGCTCTTAGGACTAGAAAGGGAGGGGGAGGTGTGGAGGGACAGGAAAAGGGAGTCGGGGAGGAGGTGGAAATTTTTAGTTAATAAATAAATAAATAAATAAATAAATAAATAAATAAATAAATGGAAATCCTCTATAGTTCTCTGTTTGACCGCAGTTCCTTGTTGCTCTAACATTTTAGATATCTGCTATATCAGGTCTCTCTTACTGCTTATAGATCCTATTTTACCCCAGTTCATCCTTACTGGCCTAGGACAACCCCGTCTGCTACCCCTTCTTTCTCAGATCTTGGTGGGATCTCCATTTGCCACACCAGCACAGCAACCATAGTTCTCTGAGCAAGGAACGTCAGGATTAACACACAGCACAACTTCAGGTTCTGCAGACAAGCCTCTATTATGCTTTCTTACACAGTATATATAGCCTTCAGCAGGGGAGGCCGAGCCAGCAAAAGCAGGAAGCTAATTACCATAAATCACATTTCTTAGGGGTAAACATCCTTAAAAATATTGCTAAGAACAACAGATTGTTCCTGTATTTGTTCCTGTTTTTGGAACAACCAACCACAAGAGTACAAAACAGATCAAGTGGGGGTGCAAAGGCCTGTCCTCAAGGGACCCAACAAACAGATATATCAAATGTGTGACATAAAAAGAACTGATTCATTCTTTCTTCTTTAGAGATACAGGCTTTGGTTTCAACCTCCATCAGTAATGTCCTAAACACATATTTAGAAAAGTACAAACACTGTAAGAAGTGGGAAACCACGTGCAGGTAGCAGGCCCAAATACTTTCTGCCATCAACTGGACCATGTAACCTATCAGCCCCATACCTCCTCCAAACTTGTATATCCTCCTGCAACCTTGGTGAAATGCTGAAACTCAGCTTGCTTCTCTACATAGACGACCAAGAGATTAGTGAGCAGCTACCTGGTAGGATTCCCACCCTCTATGACTTCACAGTGGGGCAAACACCCAGCCATTCACCCACCTGCCACAGCTTATCTAGCCAGCCAACAGGAGAGTTTCCTGCTGAGAGAACCGAGAGAAATGACCGAGGGAGAGGACCAGAAACAGAACTAAAAAGCACAATCTGTGACTCTACAGAGTGGACCAAGAGAGTAAAACAGGAGAGACTACCAAGATAGCATGCTAAAAGAGCCCTCAGAGGCTCCCTAAGACACAGACAGTAACAGTACAGAGAAGACCAAGACTCAGACAGCCACTGCAAAGATTGGACAAGATGCAAAGACATTTGAAGAAAAGATGGGTAGGCACCAATGTAAGAAGTCATTCAACAACCTAAAAAGCAACATAGTAACAACAAAACCCAGTGATCTCACAACAGAAAGACTTGATCATCCTAACCTAAAAGAAGCAGAATGAAACATTTTTAGACATAGCTTTATGAAAATGGTAGAGACCATTAAAAAGGCAAGTTAAAATTAAAAATGGTGGAAAAGATAAACAAAAATTTGGAAAAAATTTTAAAAATCCCTCAAAGAAGCTGAAGAAAACAAGCAAAAAAATGACATCAAACAAGTGAAGCAAAGAGTCCAAGACATGAATACTGAAATAAAGGCAATAAAAAAACACAAACTGAGAGAATTCTGGATATGGAAAATCTGGGTAAATGAAAAGGAACTACAGAGGTAAGTATAACAAATGGAACATAAGAGATAGAAGAGAGAATCTCAGGCAATGAAGATACTATAGAAGAAATCAACTCATCGGTCAAAGAAATTATTAAATCCAATGAAGTCTTAACACAAAATATCCAGGAAATTTGGGACATCATTAAAAGACCAAACCTAAGAAAAATGGGGGGGGCTCATTACCAGTGCCGCTGCTTCTCTCCTTGCACATCAGCATGCAGTCACTGTTTACACTGCTCCGCTGAAGCCAGAAAAGACCAGCACCATGCCCATGACACTGGGTTACTGGGATATCCATGGGTTGTGCCACGCCATCTGCCTGTTCTTGGAATACACTGATTCAAGCTATGAGGAGAAGAGATACACCATTGGGAATGCTCCCGACTTTGACCGAAGCCAGTGGCTGAATGACAAATTCAAGCTGGGCCTGGACTTTCCCAACCTGCCCTGCTTAATTGATGAATCAACCAAGATCACTCAGAGCAACGCCATCCTGCGCTACCTTGCACGCAAATACCACCTGTGTGGGGAGACAGAGGAGGAGGGGATTCATATTGACATTTTAGACAACCAGGTCATGGATACCCGCTTCCAGCTTGCGATGGTCTGTTACAGCCCTGAGTTTGAGAAAGAGAGGCCAGAGTATTTAAAGGGTCTTCCTGAGAAGATGAAGCTCTACTCGGAGTTCCTGGGCAAGCGGCCATGGTTTGCAGGGGACAAGATCACCTATGTGGATTTCCTCGCTTATAATATTCTTGACCAGCAACAAATGTTTGAACTGAAATGCTTGGATGCCTTCCCCAACCTGAAGGACTTTGTGGCCCACTTTGAGGCCCTGAAGAAGATCTCTGCCTACATGAAGTCCAGCCACTTCCTTGCAGGCCCCATGTATTTGAAGATAGCTATGTGGGGTAGCAAGTAGGACCCCTTACTACCAAGGCCAGGAAGAGATCTATAAACTGTGCTTTCTGGCCCTTAGCATGGGTCACTTATGGGTCCCTGCACCTCTGGGTCTGTCTTCCCATTTCTTCCCTTCTTCCTTCTCTTCTCCTCTGAAAGGCCCTAACGACTCTTCTTTTCCACTCAGCAACTCCCAAGTGAAACTTCTGTTAACTCCACCTCCCTGTTCCTTCACACTCCCTTACTCCCCTTCCTTTCCTTTGTCCTAGATCCAAGTAGCCCTCAGCTTGGCTGAGAGGGTGCATTTGGCTCTGTGGCTCCCCAGCACTGCCAAAGAAATCAGTCCTGCCTGTGTCAAGTACCCATCCTCAGTGTGAGGCTGCCCAGCATCCCCAGAAAGACCAGTCCCCTTATGTGTAAACCCTTGTCCCTCGATATGGGACTATCCAGCTCTGGTTGATCTATAGTAAAGTCTAAACCATGAAAAAAAGAAAAGAAAAATGGGATAGCAGAAGAACTTCAGCTCAGATGCACAGAAAATAAATCATAGAAGAAAACTTTGCCAATCTGAAGAAGGATATCCCTATGAAGGTACAATAAGCTGACAGAACACCAAATCAACTGGATAAAAAAAAGTCCCCTCACAATATAATAATCATAATGCAAACCATACAGAATAAAGAAACCATGAAAGCCAAAAGATCCTAGGCAGATGTACTGCAGGTTCTAAGAGACTGGGAGGGGTTGCAAGCCCAGACTATTATACCCAGCAAAACTCTCAATCACCATTGATTTTCAAAATAAGATATTCTTCGTCAAAACCAGATTTAAGCAATATGTATCCACAAACCCAGTCCTGCAGAAATTAATATAATGAAAACCCCAACCTAAAGAAGCTAACTGTACCCATAAATATAGGAGACAGATAATTCCCTACCAGAAAAACTCCTAAAAATGGAAATACAGAACTACTACCACCAAAAAATAATAGAAATTAACAACCACTTTTCATTAATAACTCTTAATATTATGGACACAATGAACTATAAAAAGACAAAGGCTAAGTGAATGGATATGAAAACAGGATCCAGGCTTTGTTGTATACAAGATACATACTTCAACCTCAAAGACAGACATTACATCACAGTATGGGAATAGGAAAAGGTTTTCCACTGAAATGGACCTAAGAAACAAGTGGGTGTAGTAATTCTAATATCTTACAAAATAGATTTCAAACTAAAATCAATCAGAAGAGATGGAGAAGGACACTTTATACTCATAGCAAGAACAATCAATCAAGATGAAGTCTCAGTCCTGAACAACTATGCCCCTATTACAAAAGAGTCCACATATGTTAGCCTGAACCTGGAAACAACCCAGATGCACCTCAGTGGAAGAATGGATAAAGAAAGTGTGGAATATATACATATTAGAGTAATACTCAGTGGTGAAAAATAATGACATCTTGAATTTTGCATGGAAATGGCTAGAAATAGAAAACACTATCTTGAGTGAGATAACCCAGACCCAAAAAGATGAATATGGTATGTACTCACTCATTAGTGGACTCTATCCATAAACAAAGGACATTCAGCCTGTAGTTCACAAGCCTAGAGAAGACAAATAACAAGGTGAACCCAAAGAAAAACATATGTAGATCCTCCTGGAAATGGGAAGCAAACAAGATTGCCAGGCAAAAGTTGGGAGCATAAGGGTTGGAGTAGGGGTGGGTTTGGGGGAAGGGGAGAGGAGGAGAGAGAAGGGAGAAGAGAAAGCCTGGGGAAAGCTTGGGGGAGTGGGAGGGTAGAGATGAAGAAAGGGCGGCTATAGGAGCAGGGAAGAAGATATCTACATTAAGTGAGCCATTTTAGGGGTGGCAAGAGACTTGGCTCTTGAGGAGATCCCAGGTGTCCATGGGGATGTCCCCAGCTTGGTCTTTGGGCAGCAGAGGAGAGGGTGTCTGAACTATCCTTGCCCCACTATCACACTGATGATTATCTCGAATATCTTTGGTGACAGATGGAGATAGAGTCAGAGACCCTCATCAGAGCAATGGACTAAGCCCCCAAGGTCCAGTGGAAGAGCAGAAGGAGGGAGAAGACGAGCAAGGAAATCAGGACCACGAGGGATTGGTCCACCCACTGAGGCAGAGTGCCTATTCTAATGGGAGCTCAGCAAATCCGGCTGGACCAGAACTGAACAAGCATGTGATCAAACCAGATTCTAAATGAGGCTGACAATGGGAACTGACTGAGAAGCCATTGATAAAGTCATTGGGACTTGTTTCTACTGCATGCACTGGCTTTTTGGAACCCTAGTGTATTGGGATACACAGTTTCCTAGGCCTGGATATAGGGGGGAGGGTCTTGAACTTCCCACAGGGAAGATATTCCTGCCATCTCTTAATGAGGGAGGGGGAGGAAAGAGGGTATGTTGGGGAGTGAGAGGGAAATGGGAGGAGGGGAGGAAGTATAAATTTTTGGATGGAAAAATAAAAAAGACAAGAAAAAAAAGAATAAAACTGAAAATAAAAACAAAAAATTACTAAAATTTAAATTGCATATTAAACCAAGCACACTAATAGTAGGAGACTTCAACACCATGCTCTCACCAATGGACATGACAACTATCTGTTCTTATTAACAGAGAAATAAGAGAACTAAAAAATGTCATAACTCAAATAAACTTAATGGACATCTATATAACATTCCACTGAAATGCAAAAACATATATCTTCTTCTGATCACCTCATGGAACCATCTCGAAAATTGACCATACACTCAATAATAAAGGAAACCTCCACAGATACAAATTGGAGTAACCTCCTGTGTCTTATTGGATCATTATGGATTTAAGTTACAAGTTTACAACACTATTCTCAGAAATACTATAAACTCATGAAAATTGAATAGTGAATTATTGACCCACTTCTGTGTTAAGGAAAAAATAAAAAAAGAAATTAAAGACTTCTTAAATTTCAGCGAAAATGAGGGCACAATGGATGCAAATCTCTTGGGCAATTTGAAGAAAGTGCTAAGAGGAAATTTCATAGCATTAAGTGCCCACAAAAAGAAAGTGAAGAAAGCTCATACCAGTGAATTAAATGTACACCCAAAAGATCTAGAATCAAAAGAAGCAGACACACTCAGGAGGAGAAGACAGAAAATATTCAAATTAAGAACTGAAATCAATAAAATAGAAACAAAGAAAACAGTACAAAGTATCAATGAGACAATCAATGAGCTGTTTTTACGGACCATCAATAAGATAGAAAAACCCTTCTCTAAGCTAATCAAAATATTAGAGAGAGAGAACATCTAAATTAACAAAATCAGAAATGAAAAGGGGGATATAACAACAGACACTGAGAAAATTCATAAACTCATTGGGTCATACTACAAAAACCTGTACTCCACAAAATTGAAAGATGTAAAAGAAATGGACAATTTTTAGATAGATATCATATACCAAATTTAAAACAAGACCAGGTAAGAAATTTAAATATACCTATAAACAGCAAAGAAATGGAAGCTGTCATCAAAACCTCCCAACCAAAAACAGCTAAGTTAGGGATTAAGTAAGTACAACATTTTAACAGAACTTCTAAGAATAGCTAAAATCTATACTTGTCAAAGTGGTGCACATAATAGAAACAGGAGGACTGCCATACACTTATTATGAAGCTACAATTATCCTGATATCAAAACCAAACAAAGACTCAACCATGAAAGAGAATTACAGACAAATCTCACCCATAAACATGGATGAAAAAATACTCAATAAAATACTGGCATTCCAAATCCAAGAACATATCAAAAAAAAATCATCCACCAAGATAAATTTGGCTTCATCCCAAAGATGCATGACTGGTTCAACGTATGGAAATCTATCAATGTACTTAATCATAAAAATGAATTGAAAGAAAAAATCATATGATCATTTCATTAGATGCTGAAAAAGCATTTGGCAAAATCCAACACCCTTTCATGATAAAAGTCTTGGAAAGATCACAGATACAAGAAACACATCTATATAAATTAAAATCAATATACATTATGCCAACAGCCCACATCAAATTAGGTGGGGAGAAACTCAAAGTGATTCCACCTAAATCAGGAACAAGACAAGGCTGTCCACTTTATCTCTTCAACATAGTTTTTGAAGTTCTGGATATAGCAATAAGACAGCAAAGGGATAAAATGTGGTTCAAATTAGAAAGGAAAAAATTAAACTTTATTTGCAAATGATATGATAGTATATCTAAGTGACCCCAGAAACTCTACCAGAGAACTCCTACAGCTGATAAATACCTTCAGTGATGTTACAGAATACAAGAACAACTCAAAAATATCAGTAGCCTTCCTATGTACAAATGATAAAGAAGCTGAGAAAAAATCAGAGAAACATAAAGCATCATAATAGCCACAATTTATATAAAATACCTTGGGCTAAAATTAACCAAATTTGTGAAATCTTGGTATAATAAGAAATTTAAGTATTTTAAGAAAGAAATTTATGAAGATACCAGATAATGGAAAGACCTGCCATGCTTTTGGAATGGGAGAATCAACATAATTTAAATGTCAATCCTACCAAAAGCAATCTATTGATTCAAAATAATCCCCATAAAAATCCCAACAGACCTTAAAAGAACAATATTCAACTTAATATAGAAAAAGAAAAATTCAAGAAGAGCCAAAAATCTGTACAAAAGGAACTTTTTAGGCATCACCAACCCTGACATAAAGTTCTATTACAGAGATACAGTATTGAAAATGACTTGGTACTCACAAAAAACAGACAGGTTGACTAATGGGATTAAATCGAAGACCCAGATATTAATCCACACACCTATGAACACCTGATTTTTAAGAAAGAAGCTAACAATATAGAATGGAGAAAATAAAGCATCTTCAAGAAATAGCGCTGGCTACAGAAAGAGGGAGAACATGAAAAAGGAAATCAGGACTGTGAGGGGTGCGTTCACCCACTGATACAAGAGGACTGATCGAATGAGAGCTC